CTTTGCGCCTTTCCTGGGACTCACTTGGTAGCCCAGGCTGGCCTCGAACTCACAGAGATCCGCCTGGCTCTGCCTCCCGAGTGCTTGTGTTTTTTATATCAAGTCTCTCTTCCTCTGGCAATTTCCCTTGGATAGCCTTGAGGTACTCGTCCTCTTTGTTTCAGCCCAAATATTCCAATGGTGTTCAGCCATTACAACCTTCATTCTTCCAGGGATTGGTTCAGAGATGGCTGTAAAACTCATGTTTTCCAGTTACAGTGACTCTGAAATTGTGTGTGTGTGTAAATTCGTAGGAAGAAACTCTCTCTTAATCCTGTAACTTAGAGTTTTGTAGCTGTCATCCTGCAATGATGGAGGCTGCTTGAGCTTGGAGTCAACACTGAAGAAAGCAGAAGTTATATCTTTTTTTTTTTTTTTTTTATAAAAAAGGTTTATTTTATTTATTTATTTATTTATTTGATGTGCATTGGTGTTTGGTCCGCATGTATGTTGGTGAGAGTGTTGGATCTTTTGGAACTGGGGTTACAGACAGTTGTGAGCTGCCCTGTGGGTGTTGTGAATTGAACCTGGGTCCTCTAGGAAGAGCAGCCAGTACTCTTAACTGTTGAGCCATCTCTCCAACCCCTAAAAGGTATATCTTAAGGATCACCTTAAGGTGTCTTGATTCAGCTGTACCTGAAGTCAGATTCTTCCCTCAACTGCTTAGTATTTTTGGATGTATAACATAAGTGAGGAACAAATTTGGTCTTAACAGGATTTAAGCAGCTTTCTTTTGTTGCAATGGAGCAGAGTTTATACTGTCTGAAGCTGTCAAACCTTTAATTAATTAATTAATTAATTAATTATTATTTTTTGGTTTTTCAAGACAGGGTTTCTCTGTGTAATTTTGGTGCCTGTTCTGGATCTTCCAGGCTGTCCTGGAACTCACTGAGATCCACCTGGCTCTGCCTCCTGAGGTACTGGATTAAAGGCGTGCATCACTGCCACCCAGCCTGTCAAACCTTTATTAACACCTCCTTATAAATGGCTATCTATCTACAGAGCATTGCAAAAGAGGTATCTCAATTGAGAGTACCCAAGTCTGTACAAAAATGCTTTAAGACAGTCACTAAAGTGGATATTTAGATATCATCCAAGCTTTTCAGGCTTTTGCAAGTCTGCACACCAATTGCATTTCACTTCCTAAGAAGATGGCAAGATCCAGTCTGGAATAACTTCCTTTTCTTTCTTTCTTTCTTTTCTCTTTTTTTTTTTTTTAAGACTGATTGAATGATTGATTGGTGCATCTGTGTGAGTGAATGTGCATTTGTGTGTGCTAGTGCTGGAACTTATGTGCTCATGTTGACTCTACTTTGTAGAAATTAGAAGAGGGTGCTTGTGTCCTATCACTCTCCACCTGTTAATTTGAAGCAAGCTCTCTCTCTCTCTCTCTCTCTCTCTCTCTCTCTCTCTCTCTCTCTCTCCTTTTCTCTCTGAACTCAGAGCTGACATTTTCTTGCTAAACAGGAAATTATCAGGCCCTAGCAATCCCCTTGTCTTGGCCCTGGGCAGAGCTGAGGTTACAGGGGTGGGCTGGAGTTGAATTGATGTGTAGATCCTGGTCCTCAGATTGCACAATAAGCTGAGCCACTTCTCCAGCCCACTTTCACTTCTTCTATGACAGTGAATTCCACCACCTTTCCCTGCCCCAAAGTTATAATCTTAATGTTCAGCAAGAATACCACAGAAACCATATAAACGGGGCAAGTTTCTTCAGTTCACTGTTTACTCTTTGTTTATGGATTTGGGTACCTGGTTGCTAAGTTGGCTCTTTAAAAATAAGTCACAGAGACTGATGTCTGAGGTGGGGCTAGAAAGCTGTAGGAAGTTTTTTAAGGAAACTTTAAAAAGTGGATTCATAAGGATTAACATAAATGTAGTTAGCTAAACACTTAAGACGTGAATATAGCCATCACCTCTAGCTTCATGTACTCTGGATTCTATCTTTGCTTTTATTCATGAGTGACTCACCATATTTACTGAAAAACACGCTAGAAGATTGAACAAGCAGCTAATTATTAACTATGTGGTGGATGCTAAAATTTACAGAGGAAAGCAACTTAAAATGAAGTTTAATGACTTCATCTTTTAAAACAATCCAACTAAAATTTTTTTTAAAGGTAGTTTCCAAAAAATTTTATTTGGGTTCTTGGGACCTGCCTTTTCCATCTCTGTAAGATGCTAAAACCGATAAAAGGCAGGGGTAAAGATGCCAACTGTCCTTATTCCCATATTTAAAGTTTTAATTTTTCCTTTACTTTGTTTTTTAATCCAGACTCTGTCTTTATTTGAAAGGTTAAGACCAGGCTTTCCATGTACACCTGAATCCTCCCATGCCTCCCCACTGCTCCAAGTCCTAAGGAATGCAAAGACTTAAAAAAAAATTCTGCCTATGGTTTAAACTAGTTGGATTTAGGACATGTCTTTGTATCAGACTCTCAAAGTGACAGGTTGTAACCAAAAGAGTAGATTAGACTGCCATAGAGTTCTGGGTTGTTAATTATTACCTGGGGTCATTCAGTCTGGCTTTCATTAGCAAGCTGAACAGTCTGTTAACTATTTGTGGTTTATAGCAGAACAGATTATAATTCCCAGTCTAGGACTTGTTCCCTGGGAAAAACAACGTCTTTGCCCTGAGTGTGCTTCTGAAGTGATGGCAATGTTAGTAGAAGCCATGTCCTCTCTCAGGCAGTGGCAGGCCTGCCCCGCCTCTGCCATATGCCTTTGGCCTTCTAGATGAGTTGAGGCTCTAACCACAGTACACCGGAAAGAAAGGGCTGACCCCCTGGAAAGAGCATTTATTTCCTCACAGGTGCTCTGCTTGCTCCTGCTAAGGCTGTTAATCAGATTGAGGGAGGCCAGCCCACCTGAGCCCAGGGGCCCATTTTTAATCGCATCAGAAAACAGTTTACTGCTATGTTTCACTCCAGAATTACATTTCATTTATCCGTTCTTCAGTTTAGGACATCTAGATTGTTTTCAGTTTCTTACTTTTTTTAAAATTTATTTTTTAAATTTTATATGCATTGTTGTTTTTGCCTGTATGTATGTATGTCTGTGTGAAGGTTTCAGGAGTTACAGACAATTGTTAGCTGCTATATAGGTACTAGGAATTGAATCTGGGTCCTCTGGAAAAGCAATCGGTGCTCTTAACCGCTGAGCCATCTCTCCAGCTCCCCAGTTTCTGACTAGTATGAATAAAGCTGCAGTGAACATAGTTGAGCAAGTGTCCCTGTGATAGGATGGAGAAACCTTTGGAGTTGTAAACCAGGAGTGATATAGCTGGGTCTTAAGTTAGATTGATTTCCAGTTTTCTGAGAAACCACCATATTGATTTCCAAAGTCACTGTATAAATTTGCATTCCCACCAGCAGTGGAGGAGTGTTCCTCTTGCTCCACATCCATACCAGCATGAGCTGTCATTTGTGTTTTTGATCTTAGCTATTCTGACAGGTGTAAAATGGAATCTCAGAGTCATTTTGATTTGCATTTCCCTGATAGCTAAGGATGTTCAACTTTTCTTTATGTGTTTCTCAGCTATTTTAGATTACTCTATTGAGAATTCTCTGTTTAGATCTGTGCCCCATTTTTAATTGGATTATTTAGTTTGTTGATGTCTAGTTTCATGAGTTCATTATATAATTTAAAAACTAGCACCCTGTCAGTTGTGGAGTTGGTGAAAATCTTTCCCCATTCTGTGGGCTGCCATTTTGTCCTGTTGATGGTGTCCTTTGCCTTACAGAAGCTTTTCAGTTTCATGAGGTCTCATTTATTAATTGTTGATCTTAGTGGCTGTACTATTGGTGTTCTGTTCAGGAAGTTGTCTCCTGTCCCAATGCATTTAAGGTTATTCACCAATTTCTCTTCTATCAGGTTTAATGTATCTGGTTTTATGTTGAGATCTTTGATCCTCTTAGACTTGAGTTTTGTGCAGAGTAATAGATATAGATTTATTTGCATTCTTCTGCATGTCAACATCCAGTTAGACCAGCATCACTTGTTGAAGATGCTTTCTTTTTTCCATTGTATATTTCTGGCTTCTTTTATCAAAAATCAGGTGTCCATAGATGTGTCCATAGGATTTACATCTCAGTCTTCAATTTGATTCCATTGATCAACATGTATATTTTCATGCCAATAGCATGAAGTTTTTATTACTACAGCTCTGTAGTACAGCCTGAAATCAGGGAAGGTGATACCTCCAGAAGTTCTTTTACTGTTTAGGATTGTTTTAGCTATTCTGGGTTTTTTGTTTTTCTGTATGAAGTTGAGTATTGTTCTTTCCAGTTCTGTAAAGAATTTTGTTGGGATTTTGATAGGGATTGCATTGAATCTGTAGATTGCTTTTGGTAGGATGACCATTTTTATTGTTTTTTGTTTGTTTGTTTTCTTTTGTTTGTTTTTTCGAGACAGGATTTCTCTGTGTAACAGCCCTAACTGTCCTGGAACTTGCTTTGTAGATCAGGCTAGTCTCGAACTCACAGAGATCCACCTGCCTCTGCCTCCTGAGTGCTGGGTATAAAGGCATGTACCACCATGCCCGACTTCATTTTTACAATGTTAATCCTACCAATCCATAAGCATGGGAGATATTTCCATTTCCTGATATCTTCTTCAATTTCTTTCTTCAAAGATTTAAAGTTTTTATCACAGGTCTTTCACTTGCTTGGTGAGTTAGAGTTTTTATTGCTGTGAAGAGACAACATGACCATGGCAACTCTTATAATGGAAAAACATTTAATTGGGGGTGGCTTACATTTTCAGAAGTTTAGGCGGTTATCAGCATGCTACGATGTGGTGGCGTGCAGGCAGACATAGTGCTGGAGAAGGAGCTGAGAGTCCTACATCTTGACCTGCAAGCAACAGAAAGTGGTCTTAGCATAACTTGAGCATAGGAGACCTTAAAACCTGCCCCACAGTGACACACTTCCTCCAACAAGGCCATACCTACTTTAGCAAGGCCACACCTCCAAATAGTGCCACTTCCTATGAGCTTATAGGGACAAATTAGATTTAAGCTACCATACTTGGTTAGAGTTATCCCAAGATATTTTATATTATTTGTGGCTATTATGAAGGGTATTGTTTCCCTGATTTCTTTCTCAGCCCATATTTCATTTGTATATAGGAGAGATACTGACTTTTTAATTTAATCTTGTATCTAGTCATTTTGCTGAAGGTGTTTATCAGCTGTAGGAGTTCCCTGGTAGAATTTTTGGGGTTACCTATATATACTATTATATCATCTGCAAATAGCAATACTTTGACTTCTTCCTTTACAATTTGTTTCCCCTTGGTCTCCTTCAGTTGCCTTACTGCTCTAGATAGAATTTCAAGTACTATATTGAATAGATATGGAGAGAGTGCACAGCCTTGTCTTATTCATGATTTTAGTGCAATTGCTTTGAGTTTATATCCATTTAATTTGATGTTGGCTGTTGGCTTGTAAATTGCCTTTATTATGTTAGGTATGTTCCTTTTATCATGAAGGAGTATTGGATTTTGTCAAAGGCTTTTTCAGTATCTACTGAGATGGTATTTTTTTTTTCCTTTCAGATTGTTTATATGCTGGATTATATTGTCAGATTTTTATATGTTGAACCATCTCTGAATCTCTAGGATGAAGCCTACCTGATCATGGTGACTGGTTTTTTTTTTTGTTTGTTTGTTTTGTTTTGTTTTTCGAGACAGGGTTTCTCTGTGTAGCTTTGCGCCTTTCCTGGGACTCACTTGGTAGTCCAGGCTGGCCTCGAACTCACAGAGATCCGCCTGCCTCTGCCTCCCGAGTGCTGGGATTAAA